GTCAGTGATTGCATCTACTGGGGTGGGGGACAATATCCCCTAAAGGTCTACAGTCGGAGGCTTTTGGCCTCCTACCACCGACCACTACTTTGAAGCTATAAACCTGAGTCACTTTTCAATGATATAAAATGCTAATATACTCATTTATTTTTTAAAGATATTAAGTACTTTCTATATATTGGGATTATGATTGTTGTTATGTACCATCAAGTCAGAACTGACTCATAGTTGACACTCCAGCAAGCTTCTCAGAGGCAGTAAGTAACATGGGAGGAGACTGCCTATATTTCTCATGGGGAGTACTTGGTGGATTCAAACCACGAGCCTTCAGGTTGGCAGCACAGCCCCTTACCACGAGGCCATGAGAGTTTCAAGATCATGATTGTTATTTTTGTGTGTTGCTGAGTCAGAAACAACTCACAGCTGACCCTCCAGCAGTTTTTCAGAGGCATTTAATCGCATAGGAAGAGACTGCCCATCAATCTCTCATGGAGCATCTGGTGGATTTGAACCATGCCTTTGATTCTGCAGTGCAGTTTTGTACCAGAGTGCCTTAAGATTATAAGTAAGAAGATTATATTTTACACAGGAAGATAGTAAACAAGAAAAGAAATATGCTTTTAGGCTAAGCTAGTACTAGGAGCACTTGTGGCTCAGAAGTAATGAGCTGTGCTGCCAACTGAAAGGCAGGCAGTTCAAAGTCACCAGCTGCTCTGTGGGAGAAAAATGGACAATTTCCTCCTTTGTGATTTATAGTCTCTGAAAACCCCATAGAGGATCAGCTATGAGTCGGTCCTAACTCAACAACACTAACAACAACAGCACTAAGAAAGGTGTGAAAATAGGTCATCTAACAGATACTTATGGAGCTCTGGTGGCCAAGTGAATAGAGATTTGTACTGCTGACTTAAGTTCAAGCCTCTCTGTTGGTTCAAATGCACAAAGAGCTCAATGGGAGAAAGATAAGCCAGAAAGCTGTTATATGGTCAACTATGGGGTTCAGACTTCAAGTCAAAGAGAGAGATAACATGTTGTTGTTGTTTAATGCCATCGAGTCGTAGATGACTCATAGCGACCCTATGAACGAACAGCCTGAGCACTGTTCGTACATAGTTTCCGGAGGCAAGCCATTTTGGAAGTGGATGCCACTCCTGCTTCCAGGCTTGATTTAGTCGGGAAGCTTGCCTTGGGCTTAAGGCTGCCTCCTGGTTCAAACCCTAGGCCCAGGCTGGCTAGTCTCACTCCAGGGAGAGAGAAAACCTGCACGTCAAACACATTCCCGGAAAAGCAGTCAACTCCAAAAGCTTGCCACGATTCCTGCACTCCCACCACCATGCTCCTGCCTTCTGGCAAGGAGAGCTTCCCAAGAGCTGGGAGGAGCTGGCCAAACCAGGAACAACATGGCCACTACTTCCCAGCTGCCTTGGGCTTAAGGCAGCCTCCTGGTTCAAACCCTAGGCCCAGGCTGGCTAGCCTTACTCCAGGGACAGAGCAAACCTAGAGATAACATATAGGAGCATGTTAAAGATGGTAAAAAAAATGAAAGTTGACATTGGGAACTCATGACAGATACCTCTAAGGAACTGAACTTTGAACTAAGTGGTGAAAGATAAGAAGGATCAGTTAGGAAAGTGGTGGGAGATGGGAGAGAGACCAGCAAGCAGAAGGAATAAAAATTTCTACAGCTGTAAAGAAGTGATTTGCCGTGTTCTTTGAACATGAAAGAAGGCAGTCTGGCCAGAGCAGAGGGAACTAATTAAATTAAATTCAATAAATTAAAATTTAGAATAGGCAAATGTACAGAGACCAAAGTTTATTGGTAACTATCAAGGATAACATTAAAGAAAAGAGCAGGAGGTAGAAAATTCAAATATGCAAGTCTTGATGAGGGGATTTAGACTTTATTCAAAGGATAACAAAGTGAAATGGCTCAGCTTGGCCCCTAACTTGATGGTCAGTGGTTCAAACTCAACAGCCACTTCATGAAAGAAAAGATCTGGTGTTCCCCTGAAGATTAAGCCTAAGAAAACCCATGAGTCATTTCTATTCTATCCTATATTGAGTATGTTGTTGTTCGTAGGTGATGTCTAGTTGACTGATTCACAGTTACCCCACAGGGATCTGAACCTTGACTTAGCCTGGGTCTTCTTCACAATCTCCAACATTCTTCAGTCCATTATTATAGTCATTATGTCAGTCCATACTATTGAGGGTTTTCTTCTCTTTCACTGATCCTCTAAGTTTCTCAGCATGATATCTTTATCCAAGGACTGGACCTTCCTGACAACACGTACAAAGTAGGTAAGATGAAGTTTCACAATCCTTGCCTCTAAGGGGCACCCTGGTTGTACTTCCTCTAACATAGATTTGTACTCTTCATTCACAACATACTTCAAAGCCATTAATTCTTTTTCTATCATCTTTCTTGATTGTCCAACTTTGAGATGCACAGTAAGCAACTGAAAATCCTCTGATTTTTATCAGGTACACCTTAGTCTTTAAACTGATAACCTTGCTCTTTAGGACTTGAAAGAAGTCCTTGACATTTTATTTACCTAAGGCAATACATTTTTTGATTCTTAGTGATGACTGATCCAAGTAAAATAAAGCCACTGAAAACTTTAATCTCTTCTCCTTCTGTCAATGTTGTTTATTGATGCAGTGGTGAGGGTTTTTTCTTTTTAATGTTGAGCTGTTATTCATCTTGAATGTTGTAATCATTGTTCTTCTTTAGTAAGTGCTTCAAGTCTTCTTCATTTTCTGCAGGCAAGATTGTATCATCTATCCCAGAGGTGTGCGGTTCAAATCCACCAGATGCTTTGCTGGAAAGGGAAGAACAATCTCCTCCTGTACCAGTCAAATCTGATTTGACGGTACACACACACACACATAATAAAAAAATAAAAAATAAAAAAGATTGTATCATCTGCATAACATAGGTTGTGGATGAGTCTTCCTCCAATCCTGATGTCATATTCTTATAGTCCAGCTTCTCAAATAATTTGTTCCGCATACAGCCTGGATACAGATTGGTGAGTTGAAGTTGGTATTTAACAACAATAAGGAAAATAATACACTTCATCATTCTTAAATAACCCTCTGGTGTAGGGATTAGTATTCCCATTTGACATATATTGTAGCCAAATCCAGTGAATTTTCCAAAGTAACACAACTTGAAATTCTCTAGGCTTAGGCTGACCTCTGCTCTTGGGCACTCCAAAACCAAAGGCACTTGAGGTTTACCACATGCACTCCAAGAAGAAATTACAACTATTTCTTTCTCTCTTTCTTCACTATGACCTCAGTTTAACATGTGGACCTTAGTTTTTCCATAATGCAGGATTAAGGCCTAGACACTCCCTCAAATGGAAAGAAAAGCACTTGCTTGTATCAGGCAATGATTTAAGCCTAGGAATATAAAGATGAGTCAAATAAAAACATAAACGACCTCCAAAGTAATTCCCATATGTGAACTACAGAAAATGGTTTTGAAAAATGAAATCAGTGCTTGACATATGTAAAAAGAAAATCAAGGAGAATTCATGCCATTCAATTCAATTTTGGGAAAACATATATAATTTTCTTAGTACATAGCATAATAATTAAGACTAAGGAGTAAGGACTCAGATTGCTTAATTCTCTCTGGCTGCACTATTTGCAAGGTTGTTGCCCTGGCAAAGGTATTGCAGTTCTCTGTACCCTAGTGACTTCACCTGAAAAATGGGAATTTTGTACCTATCTATACACAGAACTTCTCTGAAGTTCAAATGAGATGCGTATAACGTTCAGCCTGTTGCTTTGAATAGAGTTACTGTCTCAGTAAATGACTATGATTATACATAAAGGGCAAACAGGATATTACATTAAGAAGGAAGGGCATGCAAGAAGGAAAACATGGGTTTATAAAAGATTGTAGACATATCAGAGCTTGATGTGGCCTTGATCATCATGTCTATACGCCTCAAGGATTGTTAAAGGGCAGGGCAACCACTGAAGTTATGGAAGAGTAACTTAAGGAAAACCAAGTCTAGGAACTTAGTTAGAAAGATAAATAAGAATGAGGAAGGAAAGAGGCCAGCTGAAGATTATAGAACAGACTGTAAAAAAGAAGTTAAGAGGTTAAAAATTAGGAAGTGATTTGGAAGAAATTCTAAAGACAAAAATCATACAGAAAAGCAGGGGAAGATGATGATGATGATGATGAAAGAAGAAGAGGGTGCAATGAAGAGGCCATGGAGAAAGAAGAGAGGGGAAAGAAATAAATTTTTACTGCATCTTGAGCTAGGAACTTCACTGTGATGTTATAACAACTCTGTGAGAAAGTAGTGCCTTGAAGAAGTAGAGAGATCTGCCCGAGCTTACTCACAGTGTTGGAAAGGGGCAGAAATGAAATCAGTTCCATCTATTCTGCAATGTTCCTGCTCATGACTACCATCCTATACCACACTAAAGAAGAGATCCCAATCCGTGCTCCTATACCTCTCAACCTGAGAATTTCCTGCATAAGTTTGTTCTGCCCCTCTTGCCCTTGCAAAGAAGATCTGGTGGTTTGGTCCATATGGTTGGAATCCACCAGTAGTTCTGCAGGAGAAAGTTAGGCAATCTCCTCCTGTGTAATTCTGAGCCTCAGAAACCCAGTGAAGGGTCATCTATGTGTCACCTCAGTTAGCTTGCTAGAAAGCAGCTACGTTGTGAAAGGCAGCTACTATGTGTTAGACCCTGTGCAAGGCAGTTTTTGATATTAGATATACTTATTTATACCAATCATCCTCAAAGGATGATCAATTCAATGTTTCAGATGAAGCCAATGGGACTCAGAGAAGTTAACATTTAGGTCTGGAGTCTCCAAGGTCACCATTGAGATGATTTATTAGTGTAGATAGGGTCATGAGTTCTGTGACCACAAGAAAACCAGCAAAGAAGAGTGTGTGGGTGTCCCCAGCATCTTTAGAACCTGGGACAGCCTGCTGACTTCCTGGCTAGAGGTGCCAGGGGCCTACCTCGAGACTTGCTTCTTCGCCTCCTCTTCCCTGCTGACACGCTGCGTGGAGCTGGCTGGAGCTGGCCGATCTCGATGGGCGTGTTTGTGCGGAAACTCTCCTTGAACTTCTGCATCAGGGACTCCACTGTCTCCTGCGTCACCTCAGCTGCCGCTACAGGGTGGGCAATGGGGTTGAGGTTAGGGTTAGGCTCATCCCTCCGACTTGGAGGAATGGGGCTGACCAACCTGAGTTCCTAGAACTCCCTCCCTGACCCAGTGCCAACACAAAATCACAACCCACTGATACTAGCACAGATTAATCTATATGCTTATTCATTTATTCAACACCTGCCATGATCCAGGCACTACTCTAGGCCTTTATTTATTCAGCACCTACTATTTTCAACGGCTCGCTATGCATCTCAAAGCCGGGCAATGACTAAGGATGACAGAATAATTGATGCCTTTGAGTTGTGATACTAGAGAAAAGTACTGAATATCCCATGGGCTGACAAGAAACCAAGTAAGTCTGTCCCAGAGAAAGTGAAATCAGTGTGTGTTTTGGAGGCAAGGATGGTGAACTTCTGTGTCACATACTTTGGACATGTTGCAGGACATCATGTTTGAAAGGGTGGAGGGTGAAGACCTTTTGACAAGATGCACTGGCACCGTGACTGTAGCAAAGGCTCAAGAGTGACAGAGACAGTTTGGCTCAGGATAGGGCAAGGTTCAGAGACACTGTTTCTATGAGTTGTAGTCAATTTAACAGCACATAACAACAACTACTGCCACCTATGTACTTTAATAGAGGTGGAATGAAAAGATACAGTCTATGATTCCAGTAACCTGTAGTTTGAGGAAACATATATTCAGGAAATTCCAATACTGTGTGGCACTTCTGTGAGAAGACAAATAATACTTATAAAAGTAGAGAGTCAGTTAAAAAGAGGAAGACTCAAATATATTGAAATAGGAGTGATAACAGTGAACTTGAGTGTGGCAAAGATTGTAAGGATGACACAGGGGAGCATGGTTTCAGTCTGTTGTTCACAGAGTCACTATGACTTGTAGTTGTCTCGACATACCTAACTATTAACAACCGTGCAGAGGAAGCCACATGACAATACGAGGGTGGGTCATTTTGCCCATGTGACTGTCAATATGGGTTTTCTGGGGGAGACATTGCATACGTAAAGACCTTAGGGATGAACAGGAGCTGGCAAAGCATGGAAGGTCAGGCTAGGGATGGTAAAAAGATCTGAGGAGAAAGTGTCCTAGGTGGAATGAGAAGTATATGCAAAGACCAGGAGCCAGAAAGAGCACAATGCTTGGGACACCTGAAAGGAACTCAGTGTAGGTGCAGCAGAGCATTCAAAGAGGGGGATGTGTTAGATGTGTGAGATGAGGCTGCAGGAGGAAGAGCACCTGTAAGTTACATTTGGGAATCGGACTTTGTATCCAAACTGCAAAAGGTTGTCAACAAAAGGTTTGAACTTGGAAACCATCACTTCCAAATTTAGTCATTCTGATAACAATTACAAACAACAGCATGGGGGATCTAAAGAGACAGTGAGGGAAGTCAGCAGAGAAGGTTTTAAAGAAGCCAGTCAGAGGTTATGGTTACCCGGACGATGCAGTGGCAGTGAATGCAGAGAAAAGAGGGCAAGTTAAACAAGATTTTAGGAAATAAAAATGTTAGGTGAATCTCTGAGTGGTCCAAACAGACAAGTATCAAACTACTAGCAGAAAGGCTGGCAGTTAGAATCCACCCGGAAATGCTGTGGTAGAAAGTCTGGTGATCTGCTTGTGAAAGTTCTGCATAGGTGAATCATAATAACATCTGTGACCATAATCATTTGGCAGATGATATCGCTACATATATCTCTATCCGCCTCTCTATATCTATCTATCTATCTATCTATCTATCTATCTATCTATCTATCTATCTATCTATCATCTATCTATCTATCTATCATCTATCCTGTAAAGTAGATATAAGTGTATGTGGTAAAGCAAACTGGGGGAGAGGGGAAATTGTGAAGACTCCTGATTCTCAATCAGGTAACTGGACAGAATGAGCTACTGCACCCATGAGTTCAGGACCACAGTTTCAAAGGACATCAAACTCAAACTGGCACAACACAGTCCGCAAATACAATGTTCTAGACCCTACTCTAGTGAGCAGTGACTGAGGTTTTTAGAGCTTGTGAGCATAATAATCTATTATGTGAATGTACCACAGTTTTCCTATCCATTCATTTGATGATGGGCACTTGGGTGGCTTCCATCTCTCTTCTATTGTGAATAATGAAGCAATAAATAAACACATGTGTGAATGAAAACCCAACCTCTCTGTAGAACTTTGTCAAAATCACAATTAAAAGTGAATAAATAAATCAAAGCTTGTGAGCAGCCATCTAAGGCGCAACTATTGGCCTCCACTAATCCAGGGGAAAGAAGGGGGAAGAAAGCCAAAGACTGTTAGCCCTAAGGACTAATGGAGCGCTGGAACTTGGGTCCTCATAATCCTGAGACCAGAACTAGGTGATGCCTGGTTCCCACGTCAATTGCTCTGAATGAGTCACAACAGACGGTCCCTGACAGAATGAGAGGAAAAATATGGACCAAAACTCAAATTCTAAAGGCCAGGCTTACTGGTCTGACAGGGACTGATGCAACCACAGTGACTCTGATCTCAGTCATCCTTCAGACCTGGAACTGAAGTCATCTCCAGGGACTCACCTTTTAGTCAGACACTACACAGGCCTACTAGACGATCAATAACCTCAGAGAGAAATGCACTCCTTAGTACAACCGGATAAACCAGACCAAGAGAGCATCATTTATGAAATCACAAGTGCAGAAAGCAGGAAGAGACAGGAAAGAAATATGAAGTATGAATGGGAACAGGAAATAATGAGAGGAAGTAGGAAGAGGGCTATTAGAATGTGGGATTATAATCAGTGTCGTGAAGCATAATGTGTGTAAATTGTTGAACGGAAAACTAATTTACTTTGTAAACACAAACCTCAATAAATTCTAAATTAAAGGACAAATAAAAAAGACAATTCACAGGCTTGAAGATTCCATGCAATCCAGTTCATTTCTAGCATACAAGGGCCATATATATATATCAGACCTGACTGGGTGGAGACTGGTTTGTGGTTTTTGGGGGGTAGTTTTGTTTTGTTTTCAAGTGCTTACGGAGATAATTTAGTACAAAATCTTCACTGAGGGGAAATGAGGACCAAAACAAGCAATATAATCTTTATACCTTGTAAGTGCAGAGTCCCTGACCAATGTTTCATTCCCATAATCACCCCTCATGATTTGCTAGAAGTCACATTTCCTCAACATTTTAAATGTGAGACTGGTAGAAATGTTTCTGGAATTGGAGACAGTAGGTCAGAAGGGCAAAGGGGTGGAAAAAGGAAGATTAAAGGATAACAAGCAGAAAGCTTGAGAAGGAAGAAGAGTAACATAAAAAGCAAGGAGAAGAAACCAGAAAGAAGAAAAGGCAACTTTGCAGTACCACTAAGAAATCTCCCTAAACAGCTCAGGCTTTGAAATCTTCAAACTTAACCCTCAATCCAACCCTGTCTCCAGAGGCTAGGACATTTCTTCTTAGCTTGTGCTACACGCTGTACAATGACAAGAAATGTGACACACCAATAATTCCGGTTTCTTTGAAGGGGGTTCTACCAGACTGGGCAAAGAAGGCATCCGAAAATCCCAAGACTGATTTCTAATGACAACCCCTTTTTCCAGGAAAGCTTATCAACATAAACAAATATGCTAGCTCAGACTCAGAGGATTGGTCTGTAACTAGAGGTCTGAAAGCAACATCATCTTTGGGAAAGAAGGGGGAGCTTTTTTTTTGCTAATGACAAGAGAATTAGCAATACACTGGAACCATCTGATGGCTTGATAGCTTCCTCCTCTGTCTCTATTGCCACTGCTTTTCCATGTCTACTTAAGTCCCCCAAGTAGATGTCAAACATGGCATCCCTACTGCAAGCCTATGAGGCAGTATCCTCTGGAAAATAAAGTGTGTTACAGTGCAATTCTGAGAAACAACCATGCTCAATTCTGATACATTAGAGTTGGAGAGGAGAGTAACTTAGCCCCAAATATAAGAGGTGAGATGTACAAGTCAAGAGCTCAGACTCAGTCAAGGTTTGCAATCTTCCAACATTCATTCATGCATTCCTTCTTTTCTCTCTTCATTTATTAATACATTCATGTTGTTGTTATGTATCATCGAGTTGTTTGTGACTCATAGCTACCTTATGCACAACAGCTCTGAACCCTGCTCTAGCCTGAGCCAACATTATCTTCTCTGACCTGCTTACCCCCATTACCCCAGTCACTGAATCAATCTGTCTCATCCAGGAACGTCCTCTCTTGTGCTGTCCCTCCACTCTCCCAAGCATCCCAAGATGTCCCTCTCTCCAAGGACTGGGAACCTCTCCATGTGTATGTATGCCGAGCACAGCGGATATAATGGGAGGGAGGAGAAACCCAATTACAGGAACAAAAACTACTAGTTGCTGCCCTCTTGATGCTTGTCATACAGATAGAGGTCAAGATTAATAATGGATATGTAGATGTAACATTTATAAGCCATATGTATTGTGAAGGAAAACATAAGAGGTGATATTAAAGGAATATTGGTTTTTCCTATGAAAATTTTGGAAACTTTCTCCAAGGAAGTGAGTGGTGTGACTAAGTTCTGAAAAGAGCAGGCATTAATCAGCAGGGGAAAGCAAGGAGGTACAGGGTGGGCCAGGCGAGGAGAGCAAAACAGGCAGAGCGAAGAGCCTAGAGAAAGTGTCCGTGAGATAAAAAATATGGAATCAACTAATGGGCCTGAAACACTGAAAGCAAGCAGCATGAGATGATGCCGGAGTGATGAAAAGCAGGCAGGTTCCAGAGGGCCTTTTAGGCTTTGATAAGAATAGGACATGTTGAAAGTTGTAGATAGGCATGCGATTTGATCAGATCTGCATTTAGGGGAAAAGCACTCTGACAGCAGAGGTAAATTTTCATTGGAAAAGGACAGGAATGGATGTGAGAAGATAAGCAAAGACCAACAAAGAAGTTTGTACAGCAAGGCAGAAATATGAAATGATGG